ATGTTGACTTCTGGTTAAACTGATTCTCCACAAATTATATTTTAATAAAAAATAGATGTTAAAAACTTTCTTGTCAAGCATCCCTTCTCTGTTTTTTGGAATATCTTCTTAGTTATGTTGTGTATCTTTTTTATTAACTTCGCAGAGAATTACATGTTCCAGTATACATCAAGTAGTGATTTAGTTGAAATTAAGATTTGAAAATGGAAAATGAGGAATGAGAATCTGTCATCCCATCCAGTGATGCTAAGTTTGTATAGTAATCAGAAATGAAGACATGCATAACTCATATAGGGTAGTTGCTCAATGCCTAGTTCTTTTGGATGGAAAAAAAGGCTTGGTTTTAGTTAGGCCCTTTACATGTGTGTGAATGACCTAGAATTTTCCTTTTTACTCTGTTTTGCTTTTCTTGCTTTCTTGTTCAAGTCACTTGAAGCTCTTCAGATTAAAGAATTTGTAATGCATAAATGCAAAATGCATTTGGGTGTTTAGGGTATAGTTTGTGCATCTGATTGAAATGCCTTATGTTTTTTCCTGGTATTTTTGATAGTTCGCTGATGCTTTAATTATTAAATGTTGAATTTTCTTTTGCAGTGTTTATGAACCGAGCAATCTTTGTTATTTTGAAAATTTCATGTTTGGTAGAAAGTGTATTTAGTAACACGTTCTCATATTTTTTCTAAAATGCATCTCTCCTCTAGGTTTATGGTTTCTATGATGAGTGCCAAAGGAAGTATGGAAATGCTAATGCGTGGCGATATTGTACAGATGTTTTTGACTATCTAACACTTTCAGCGATTATAGATGGGACTGTAAGCCTCTCTCAATCTCCCCTCCTATTTCTATACGCCAAATTTGCACCTGTCAAATAGCTTCAACATGTTTATTACTTGGCAGGTTCTTTGTGTACATGGAGGTCTTTCTCCTGACATACGGACAATTGATCAGGTTTTCTCCCTCTTATCTCCCTTTTTGGTCAACTGATCTTTAACTGGTGATGCATCTGTGCAGCCATAGCAGTATTTAGACAAATTTAAGGATCATCATCTGACATGCAATTGCTTCTGTATGCCCTGTATCTCTTGCCTGTTAGGGTTTTTTGCATTTGCTCTGTACATATTGGTTGTAACTTGCAAGGTTCAAGCAAAAGGCTCCTTATCAGGAAATTTTAAAACTAAGTTAAGGCACATTTGGCTAATAGGCACGTTTGGCTAATCCAAAAAAAAAGAAAGTTTAAGGCTCATTTTTGAGTTGCAGGACATCATGGATATACTTTATGATTAATATAGGGCTATATTTAAAGATCAAAAATGGGATATGGCATGATGCAAGACACCTTTGAACCTTTTTTTCCTCCATTTTGAGGTTTGTCGATCAGGATCGACAGAAGTTTGAGTTATTTTTAAGATAATACTTGGAAAGTGTTAAATACCTTTGGGCAAATGATCTAGGCCAGGGTATCTTAGAAGAGTGTGCTTGTAATGCTTCCTACATTATTCATCCGGTATTCTAAAGGTTGAAGAACTCACAAATCATCATATTTGTATCATGTATCCATGTCTTTGCTTAATAAACTTTTTAATAGTTTCTGGCCATGCCCTTTTTTTTTTTTTTTGAATTCTTATACACTCCTTTTCCAGATAAGGATAATAGAGAGGAACTGTGAAATTCCCCATGAAGGGCCATTCTGTGATTTAATGTGGAGTGATCCTGAAGATATTGAAACATGGGCAGTCAGTCCACGTGGAGCAGGTTGGCTATTTGGATCCAGGGTCACATCTGAGGTAACATGATCTGCCCTCACCAATATCTTCTGATGCTGAAATAATGTTATATATTTATTTATTTTATCTTTTGCAGTTCAACCACATAAATAATCTTGATCTAGTTTGTCGAGCGCACCAACTTGTGCAAGAAGGTCTCAAGTATATGTTTCAAGACAAAGGCCTAGTAACTGTGAGATCATAAACTTAACTGTATTAAAATCTTTTTGTTCAACATATTTGCAGCTAAATGGAATTTCATGGGTCTTGATGATTGTAGGTATGGTCTGCACCAAATTACTGTTACCGCTGCGGGAATGTGGCTTCTATATTGAGCTTCAATGATAGTATGGTAAATATATTTTTTTCATCCTCATTTTCTCTTTTTTCTCAAACAATAAATGATCATCCATAGAAGTGATTGGAATTGGATGCCCTCTGTAAATTGCTATGTTTCTAAGTTTATTACCATATGTTCTCGTTATCAGCCTCCCTTAGTACTTCGATGACCAGGGGTTTTCCATCACTTATCTCACATTCTCACTTGCATGTCTGCCCTGTTATCATTTGTAGCTGGAACCAGGATTGTTGTAGAGGAAGGGTGGGTGGATTATACCACTGCCCATATGTTTTTTGCCAGTCAATTTCATTCTTAAACTGCTTTTCCCTCCTGTGCTAGTTTTTGCTAGACATTAAATCATGGCTTTATCTGCTTTCTTTTTTTATTTAAAGTCTTAGAAATTCTGATTGCGTTGCAATCAATGCCTTTACCAAGCATAACAGAGGATAATGAATATAGAATCCCACCTGTCTAATAATTTAAGAACAAAACATGATCCTTATATCCTATGTCATTAACTTAGTAACATGATGAGAGAATGATTACTATTTTCTATGTTCTTACGATCCATCTCTGAAATGAAGTTTGCCAACCATGCTAGGAAGTTCAGGATTTTGATTCTGATGCTTCTGAGAGTATTCTGAGATTATGTAGAACTTGTTATCTGGAACTGAAAACATGCAAGATTTGCAACTAATATTAGAAAATAGATTAAGTCATTCCAATAAGCCTTGTCTTCATGTGTTCTCATTATTCAAAATCCAGTGGTTTCCTAGATCTAATATCTAGCTAGTTTGGTTGTGTTTATTACCATAAGAGTAAGGCGAGTGGAGCTTGTTTGTGATGGAAATTAGGGCCTTGATTTTGTAAATTTCATCTGTCAAATTCTTTATTTTTGCAGCTTTTATTTTGCATACTCTGGTTATTTTAACCCTTGCTTTTATCTAGTTTTTGCTTTTCCTTATAAAATTGTAATCATAATTGAAGTCCACAAACTGTGCAATTCTGATTAGTGTGGCTATTTGCACCCTCCCTGCATTATCCAGATGGTTGCAATTCGTCATAATGATAATATTGATGATGGTTTTTTTTCCTTGGCATTGCTTCAGGAAAGAGAAGTGAAGTTTTTCACCGAAACTGAGGAGAACAATCAGATGAGAGGACCTAGGACAGGTGTTCCTTACTTCTTGTAATTGAAGGGAGATAAATGCCATGCTATTTGTAAAATTGTGCTAGTATTTCCAATTGACTGTTGAGAAAAGCTCCAATTAGGAACGCTTGGATTTGTCCTGCTTGACCTGGCTGCTGCAATTCCTGTCTGGTCCAGGCCGCTTCTGAGATTTGTGGGTTGTGCGTGAAGGTCTCTGTGTACGTTACAACAGTATTTATTGGTTTGGTGTCTGTCATCATAGTTCATTCCAAAATGTTTTCTAGTTTTACAACATACAACATTTTTAGCTAAAATCTCTTTAATTCCAAGCCACTGTGTTTTGTTTTTTTTTTTTTCTTGGCCAATAACTACTGTTGTTATTATTATTTTTTTATTGTGAACTTTCATAACTCCGTTTTTTCTTCTATTTCATTTAGCCAAAACCAATAATTTTGTTTCCATATTTTTGGGTGATAACTACAAACCCTTTACCATATGATCTTGGTTTATTTCCGCTTCATGTTTGGATTCTGAATGTTAATGCAGCTGGTTCGGATTGTTGCATAAGATGGGAAAGGCAAAAGGTTAAACCCTTTGGTCCTTGTAGTTTGAGATTCTAGCTCCTTCTTGGCCCTTGTGTTAACTTTTTGCATAGAGGACACGTTAATTGATGGCAGAATGCTTAAATCTATCCTTAGAGTTAGTTAATAAGGATGGATTTATTCTTAATAAAAAATGAGAATAAATTTACTTACAAAGTTTTTGATTTGGATAAATTATTTTAAATTTAATGTATGTTAATTTATTGCATCATCAATAAGTTTATTGTTAATTGTTGATATTTGTGATGATTTGTTTAAGTTGAAAACTCTATGACTGGATTTGTTTTTATTTTTAGTTGAGGAGTAGATCCATCCTTAGTGTTTAGTTATGGAATGGGATTGGATATTCTGCCTTAATTAATGGTGAAATATTATTTTCTTTTCAAATAAAATACATGGAAACTACATGGTGAAATGCTTGAGCTTCCCAAAAAGGATGGATAATGATTTAGAAGTATCCTTTGTCTGACTTTGTGTTATTTGAGATTTATAATGTTAAATATATTTATTTATTTAATAATATATAAAATTTGAATGATTCGTTCCGGTTTAGTGGTATTGGATCTTGGGTTAAAGTTATTCACTTCCGTGAATGGCGTGTTTGAATCTCATGAAACTTATTTTCCTTTTCTCCCATATATTTGCAAGTAATGTCAAAATTGTTTAAAAAAATAATATATAAAATTTATATAAAAAATTATACAAAAATATTATTTTTATATCATGACTCATTATATCACTACTCAAAATGCATGAATTAATAAATTCATACAATTAACATAAATATCAAACATTAATTAAAAAATAGGCTTTCTAGTTGAAGTTAATTCACTTAGGTTTAGCTTGGGAGTGTTGGTTTATAATTGTAGCCATTGGTTTTTTAGTTATTTAATATCCTAAAAATATATAAATATATTTAATGTATTTAATATTTATTTTTATTAATATTTTATATATTTTTTTAAAAATAATTAAAAAATATTAAAACTAAAAGATAAAGTATCGAAAAGTATTTTCGAGCAAATCCTTAATTAATCCCTATAAAAAAATACTTGAATAAACAGATTATCAACTATGGATAGATCTAAAAACCGGTTCTTTCGAAGCTATTCTTCCCAGACACCAGTAAATAAATTTTAATAGGCAAATCAAATTGAACTCAAATCCATCGATTCAAACATAGTCAATTGCAAGGCAAAATCAAATCAAACCAAAACAACCGAGAGAAATTCACTCTATTTGATGAGACTGAAACTTTTAATAGAAGTCATATATGAAAAAATTTATTATAAAAATGTTGTTTTTGAAAAATTAAAAGTGTTTAATAAAATTTTTTATAGAAATACTTACAAATGAAAAGTCATTTGATAAGTATTTTTATAAAAGATTTTTTAATTTTGAAATGATTAAAA